GAGAGAGAGAGAGAGAGAGAGAGAGAGAGAGAGAGAGAGAGAGAGAGAGATAATTTCAGTTAGACCTAAACTGCCGTTGCCTCTTATATATTCTAAATAGGAGGACTATGGTCGCATACGTCCAACAACGCATATATGCAAAGGGCACATTCAATCGTTCAAGTGTTAGGGAAGGGTCGGTATATACGCTTTCATTGGTTAGGACAAGTAAGTGTACAAACAGCAGCAGCTATTGGGAAATAGAACCTTCGCAAGCAGTATAGAACTAATTAAAATAACTGGTCACTTTACATGTATGCTTTACTGTAAGTGACATGGCATTTATTTTGCAAAATAAAAAGCCCTTCCTTCCCTTGTTTATGCAGAAAAATTCCATATACAGAAAAACAATTGCCGAATCGAATCTTGCTTTTGGCTTTTTTTGTAATTTTGTAAAAGAAAATAAACAAAAAGGTGTTCATAAAAGTTGGGTATTGAGAGCTATGTTTAAATTATGTGGCCACAACTTCCGTTCTCTTCGATCCGAGCTGTTTGCGTATTAGAACGCCAGGAAGCAAACAAGAATCTTAGAATACATACTATTTTTTTTTTTTAAAAAAAGGCGCGTTAACAAACATCTTGGATTGAAGCTTTTGTGAACTCGGCGTCTATAGGGTAACCATGGTCGGATTAGCAACGTCGATCGCACAAAAAGCAGCACCATGCAGTGAACTCATTGTAACGCTTTTCCAGATGCAGAGACCAAAATAAGTCATATCCTATGACCCATTCCGTTGTTATTTTTCCTCTTTTTTCCCTTCGTGAGACTGGCGCACTGAATGACCTTCTCCGTCCCTCTGCGAGGAGGGGATCAACGTCCTCTCAAAGAACTGATTCGATTTTCCCCGAGTTCACGTCGTTCGCCGCGACACACCCCGCACACATGTACGCATTTTTCGTCTTGGCCTCTGTTTTTCTTTATTAACCTTCTTTCTCCATTTTCTGCCTTGAAAATTAATATTGAGAGCTAAGCATACTATTTTATGATCACTGTCCGACATGAGAGTGTCATTCCTGTAATATATGAAGCTCACACAAAAATCAATAAATAAGTTCTCTTTGCTGTGTACAAAGGGCCGTAGTATTGGGGGCAGACCGACGTGAGATTGGTCGACTCACAGGAAGCACAACAAATAACTCTGGGCGGACCACCCCGTCCCACCACGCCCACGCCCCACCGGCACAGCTAGGGAAAAGAAACGGAAAGGCTCTTGTTAGGGTTAAGGGACGGGAACCCTTAAAGGAAGGCTGGTACAGGACCTTAACGAGCCGTTTTCTGCGCACATACATACACTGCCAGTAAAAAAGTAAAAGAGAATACGGAATGGCAGAGCTCACTTCCTGAAGACATTTATTGCACCTGATTCACACCCTAACGCCCCCTTCCTTTCCCACACTCCCCATAAAAAATTCCAAAAAAATGTATTTTCTGAAAAGGGTTGTAATATATATTTTTTTAAACACATCTTCTGACTTTAGTGTTCCTTCGTCTCTCTCTGTAACTCCCGCTGTCCCTCTCTCTTCCTTCTATCTGTCTCGCTGCTTCTAAAATTTTCTACGTGGTCCTTCGTTGAGAATACATCCACGCATACGCCCCTGCGTGCGTCAAAAGCAGCTAAGGATAGGCGACTGCTGCCATGAACTCGACGGGCGGGAAAGGCAAGGGCGCGAGCGGGGCGAAACGGCGAAGCGGGCGGGATGGGCGGGGTCTGGCGAGCGGGTGGTGGAAGAGCAACGCACACGTTCGTTCGATGTGTTTCCAGAATTGAAATGGGGATACACGCGCTGGATGTGGCCGCCAGGCCCGACCCGGCGTCCTGCCCGTCAGCATTCGGAAATGGCAGGACTTCGTCTCTCTCGCTCCCGAGCCCGGTGTCAGCCCCTCTGCGCCGGGCCGCGCACTTTGGCGTGAGTGACACTGGAGACGCTCTGAGGGCTCTGTTCTCCTCCATATATACATCGTATTGCCTGGCACACCTTCCTCGAGTCGGATCAGACATCCCCATTCCCCTCTCTCTCTCTCTCTCTCTCTCTCTCTCTCTCTCTCTCTCTCTCTCTCTCTGTCTGTCTCTCTCTGTCTCTCTCTGTCCGTCTCTCTCTGTCTGTCTCTCTGTCTCACCGACACACTCTCTCACACACATACACACA